GTTCTCGAATTTATGAATGAATGACGCAAATCTTCGTGAATTTTGGAAAGATTGCTTTCTACACTCCAAGTACAGTCACTTGAATTTTAAAAGTGTATCTATTATTAGTAACTCTAGTAATTTGAAATACACACTATTATCAACAGACCATAATGTTAAGAACTAGTTTACACCAAGTATTGCTTTGGATTAGATGTCTCTGAGTAAATATAAAAATTCTTCTTCTTCTCTTCTTTTTCTCTTCTTTTAGTGCCTCTCCATCACTGGAGGTTGGCCGTCAGTCTCTTGAAGCATGTCTTGTCCTGTGCCAGATGATCAACTCTTCCGCAGTTGCAATACCCGTCCACTCCCTAACGTTGCGAAGCCATGATTTCTTCCTTCTACCAACACGCCGTTTACCCTGGATTTTACCAATTATTGAAGGAGGTGGTAGCGGTCATGGTGCAACACGTGGTCCAGGTACGCAACTTTCAGTTGTTTAATGTTCTGCAAGTTTTTTCGACATTCCAACTCGTTTTAGAACCTCCTCGTTAGAGACCTTCTGGATCCAGCTTATACAAAGCATGCGATAGCACCACATCTCAAATACTTCTAAGCGCCGGCGGGTATCTTCTTTAATTGTCCAAGCTTCACAGCCGTAGATTGGCCAATTCAAAATGATTAATCCCATAAAATACCTACACTTCTCTAAGAACTGTGGCGATTCGGTTATAATCAGAAAATCTCCGTTGCGTAAATCACATATATTTATATTATTCACTGAAAATACAATTACTATTTTTGTTGTGGAACTCGCTGTTAGCCTTAAGTGGGCTTAAGCTCGGGCTGTTTTGGCAAGCGAAGCTCGGCCGAATTGGAGTTTCCCCGCGACTAGCGCAAGGGCATCTCCTGCGAGACTCAGATCTTGGCTTGTTTTACTAAAATTAATTCAGGGTACAAAAGTATTTGTTTTCGCCTTACAATGGAATTGGAAATGATACGAGAATGTAAGTGGGTGATCCTATTTCACCATGCCTCCTGCTGATAGAGGACAAATCTTTGTTTTTAATTTGTTTTATTATTATTAATTACTTAAGATGTCATGTGGAACATGGTGTAATGGTTGCAGCTCCTTACAAACGTTGTGTAAAACAAAAAACTTAGCGATTCAAAAAAGTGGCGGAGAGTTTATTGACAGTTCTTCTCTTCCGTTCTACGCCCTTGATTTGAGAACTGGCAGTAAATTTAAAATTAGAAGCATTTCATTTTTTTTTTGACGTTCATACACAATGTACACCACATTGTGTTACCTATATGAATAAAAGATTTTGAATTTGATTTTTTTTTATCATTATTTTATAGAAAAAATACCTTTTCATGCGATTTATTCTATAGTAATAATAAATCATTGCCGCTACTACATACGGTTTTGAGCCGATCGTAGTCGTTACTTTATTCATTTTTATAGATATTTAGGACATATTATGTATCATTTTATAAATCAGATTTGAATTTTTTAGTAAGACACAGCACAATAAAGATGTTTTCATCGTAGAACCAACCGCTAATTTGGACGACCTCAGTGTTAAAAGTCGCACGTTAAAGACCTAGACCACCACTGAACCGTCAGAACTTTGGAGATTTATGAAAATTCAAAATATAAAAAAATCGTTATACTTTTTAATCTAATCAAAGTACTTAACTCGTAATAAATAATTACGGCCAATAGAGAAAAAGGTACCCATAACCGACTAGCTAGGGAGAAAGATGTGTCAGGACCGTAGCAAGTGGAGATCCCTGGTCTCTGCCTACTTCTAAGAATGGCGTGAGTGTGTATAGATGGATAAATATTATTTTAACCATGCACGGATTTCATAAAAAGATTGTACAATGTATGTCTCATAACCAAAGGAAAGTTTCTTGCCAGTTCTTCTTGCCCGCTCTACGCCCTTGACTAGCGAACTGGTAGTAAATGTAAATTTACAATTAATTTAACTTCTTTTTAGACGTTCATAAATGTACTTGTTTAGTTTTGAGTTTGAAAGACGTTAATATAATAAAACCGTCTTCGTCCAATCCATTAGGCCTGATGAACACACAAAAATCCATTCAGTAATTTTATCGCAAAAACATGCGAGGGATATAATACCATTCTTATTTCGAGAGTATTATGTATGCATTGAACAAAGACCACTGACTTTCGGATAAATTACATTTTGCCTTCGTATATGGGAAAGTTTTATTTCGCAATTCCATATTAAAGAAAGTTTCACACAAGAGTTCACTTGTATTAATCACTTATATATATCAATATTTGGATAAAAGTGTAAAACATATGTTTATAGGTATTAACAATATTCGTAACCTACATATATATTAATAATCAAAATATATAATTATTTATAATTCAAAATCAATAAATTTAAAAAGTTTGGTCCCTGTGGCAGTGTACCTTTAACGCTGGCAGCTTTCCTCGCTGTATTGCGATACTTATTCGATGAGCGAGGAAAGCACCACCTCTGGTGTCACCTATACTATCTACCAGGCGCCAACTTTTTATAATTAGCGTCTGTGCACTTGAAACCCACCGCCCAAGAGTCTACCCCAAAGGGAACAAAATCGAACTCGGAGAAAAGACTCATATATTTGAGCCGTTTGTTATTTTCCGCCTGCTCTGCGGCCGCCTTTTGCTTGTCTGAGGAGGGAGACGGAGCATCCCATAGCCCGTCCCATCCTCCAAGGGATCAACGACATCAAAGTCAAATCATTTATTTCAATTAGACCATCTAAAATGGCACCTTTGTACGTCAAATAAAATATAAAGAAGATTCTAGTTGCCCCTTCCAAAAGGTAGTTTCGTTTAGAGAAGAATGGGTAAGAAACTCCACACTTACTCTTTTAAATTAGGTTTACAATATTTTGTTTTAATTAGTTAAATCATTATATGTGAAGACAATGTACTCTTAGAATAAAACTACTATCCTAAAAAACTTAGTATACATTCCATCCGGCCGCTTGCCATCGTCTTTAGCAATGCCTGTGGCTTCAAAATGGCTGGAACATTGACGGAGGCAAGCGACCGGCGTATGTTGTTGAGCGCGGCGTAGCAGAATAACAACCTGCATTATTATCGCAATGGAGGCCATGGTTTACAAGGCTACTAGTGTGTATGGCTTTTCAAGTCGGGGTTAATTTTTTCGTTAAAACCGCGCTGAAGCTTTAGTATGACAAAAGCTTTGTCTAAAAGCTACCGCTCTCAAATCAGTCGTGAAGCAGTCATTTTATGATTTGGCACTCTGAAAAGGAGGGAGCTTGTAGTTAATTGTATATCAGAATGCCAAATCATAAAATGACTGCTTCACGACTGATTTGAGAGCGACCGCCGATGCGAAAACCGCTCTGTGAGTTACAGAATCGCAGGGCAGTACAGTAAAAAGCTTTCATATATATTATAATACGTCAATTTCTTTTGACGAATGACTCTATCAAATAGGGATTTCTAAGGGTGCTTCCGATATTTGAATGACAAAATGTCAAGGCAATGAATACGTTTATAGCAAATGGAACTGTCGGCTATCCAATTCCTGTGTATTGCTAGTGACGTGATGTCTACTGATATATATTTTTGTATTGATATCGCGAGCATACCTCACAATATTCTATTTTGATTACGATTTTATTCTTTCCTGAATTATTAACACCCGAAAGAGGTTATTGTGAGGATACCGTCGCAGACTAATTATATTATTACTTTATTTATTACTAATATTATTATATTTATATTATTATTATTATTTATATTATTACTTTATTTATTACTAATTATATTATAGTAGCTATATAGTAAATTTTATATAAACTCTGCGAAAAAAATAAAGAAGGAAATTTACGTTCTAGGGTCGATTTCAGTTAATGAAATGAAATTTAATTGTCTGACGAAGTATATATACTAATTGTGTTTTTTTTATCCTGATGTTAAGTTACCGACGCCCATGGACACTTTCAATTCGAGAGGGCTCGCGAGTGCGTTGCCGGCTTTTTAAAAATTGGTACGCATTTTTGAAGGACCCTAAGTCGAATTGGTTCGGTTATTCATCGGAAATACAAAGAGCGTACTTGGGTCTAAGACCGTCATCGCGATGTGTTTCTTCACCGTATGAGGGCGTGTTGAAATCGTAGAAGTCCATTAGTACACAGGATTTAAACCTACGACCTCAGTCATTACATATCCAAGTTTACATATAACAACAATGAATAACATCACTTTACGCCCCAAAACATAATTTGTATCCCGACGCTAGGTGTGCTAATTAGTGTTTCATGAAAAGCTCTGAAAGCTTAATTGAATATAATGTAGTTTGCTAACAAATTGTTATTCCAGAACTTATAATCCAGAGTTGCTTAATTTTTAATAAACCTTCGTTAAAAGAGAGAATTCTCAAATATATTTTTGATACTACCTGTTTTCCGTGACATTTATTTATAAATACATCGCAAAGATCCATTACTGCGGCCGAGCCATTTAAAAATTTGGTCTCACAAATAATTTTAATACAACAGTATTAAAATTGGAATATCTGTAAAAAATTGATTTCCGTGTTAACTACAAGTCACATTAAATCTTGTATGTTATTTTTCGTATACCAATGTATCAGAGTGCCGAGCGTTGACTAGCTTTTATACATAAATAAACGGCTCAAATTTTTTATTTAAATTTCTTTATTTTACTAAAAAATATAATACAATCATAACATTAGAAAACCGCTGTGGTTATATATAATAGAAGTCTTTCCTCCAATTTCGTTCCCTTTGAAGACGGTTAAAGATTTAAGCGCGCCTGGTAGGTAGTACCGATGACCCCAGAGCTGGTACTTTCCTCGCTCATAATACAGCGATTGCTGCCAGCTTTAAAGGTACACAGAACCAAACTTTCTTCTTATTAATAAATTATTATTATGAAAGAAAATTATAAATCAAAATAAATTTTGATTTATCTTCCGTAATTAAATTATTTAACTTACCTTATGGAATATAACCAGCAAGTCATCCAGTTTTCCATGCAAATCGCCACAGATTGTAATCTGACTGGATATCGAGGTGGTAGCAACATTGATATTGGGCAACCGTTTCAAAGTCTGCGAGGCCTCTTTCAATATTTGAGCGACGTGCTTCGGGTGCAAGCGATGCTGGAAAAAATAAAAATATTAAAAAAACGGGAAAAAGCAATTTAAATAGTTATGGAGTAATTTTTTTATCAACACTTTGCAATACATATTTCGATATATATCACGCACAACGGACCAATTGAGAGTCTAAGTGTGGAAACTGAGTCCACAAACCATAACATATTTCGATACATTCAGATAACATAAGTTAAGGCGGCAACGGGCGGCCTTATCGAGAAAAAGCGATGTCTTCCAGGCAAAATAAGAAATAATAATACAGATAATACACAATTACAATACCAAAAAAAATTTATATTCAAGAACCATCACATGACAGTTAAGATGTGTATGTGTGTGTATTTTATAAAAATAATACTTTAACAAGTATAAAAAATATATAAAAACAAAAGTATAATTTTAAGATAGGTAGCTAATCGTATGGGATTGGGAAACGCAAAGAGTTGCTTACGATGAGCTGTGGGAAGTATCCAAAATGCATATTTTACATTATAAAATTTATTTATTTTAAAATTTCTACCATTTTACATTTCATAGATTCTTTTCCATGGAATTGATGATGAGCTTCATCAATTCGATGAAAAAGAATCTCCCCTAACCTTCACATAACAAATAATAGACCCGTAAGCATTACAAATAGGTCCTTCCCTAACTGAGTGTAGAAATATATATCTAACGAAATATGACTACAATTACTAATAGCTGCAAAATGCATGCTGTCTGGCAGAGATTGCTTGATAACATATGTGTATTGTGTTTTGTTTCACACACATCCACACCCACTATGAAAAAAGTTTGTATCGCGCAGCCCGGACATAAAACGACCACTATTTAAACCTTGACTAGTTTAAGCTATCGCGGAATATGCTTAAATAGTATTAAGAATATCTATAGCGCTAAATACCCTGCATCATACGCACACATACACACCCTCAGTTTCACACCATCACACAATCAATACGCTCGAATTAGTGTAATGTATTTCATTTTTCATATTGAGTTTTTTCTTTCGTAAATGTTTGAACATATTTGTATAACGTATTCCATCTTTGGCTATATATTTAGTATAATTGTTTTTTGTTATATATAATACTAGCTGTTCACTGCCACGCTTCGCTGTGGCGCATTGTGTTTGAATGGTTGAGAAAATTAAAAACAAAAAATGTGAGCCGTCACGGGACGCCTGGCAGATGTGAAACATCGACATTATTTTGTAAAAGTAATATGCAGAAAAGAACAGATTGTGATAGGGACTAAATATATCATAATGATGAAATAAAATAATACGATTTTTTTCCAGATAACGATGACTATTTATTGAATAAACATTTATTTTCATTAAATACAAAAAAATACGAATTTATTTCAAATCGTGACTACTTAATTCGTTTAATCAGTGACTTCGAAATACACACACCGTACATACTACTGCAAATAGACTGTATATATATACCATCATACAGCGTGGCGTCGCCACAGCATGCGTCGCCACGCCAGAAATCGGTTTTACGTACGGCTATAGATATTTCACATCAAAACAGGCAAATACATATAGTATAGCCAAAGAGATTTTATTACAGGTTCATACATAGTATAATGCGAAAAGACTTTTTCCCCAATCTAATATGTATACCTTAGTATAGCGTGGCGACCCGTCGCCACGGCAAGCGTCGCCACGCCAACAATTCGGTTTACAAGTGAGCCTATAGATGTTTCACATCAAAAAAATTATAAAAAAAATAGATAAAAACAATCCTTGATGCGGATAATATATCATGCTAAAATTTCAGCTCGATCGGTGCAGAACTTTTTGAGTTTTTAAAGCGTACACAAACCAACATAACATTTATATATATATAGATATGTTAGCTTTAGGATTAGAAAATAAATAAATATTGTAACCTTTACATTACATGAAAGCATTACAACTTATACCGACCTTTTTCTTTCGGAACGCCTCAATCAGCAAGTCAATATCTTTTCTCTTCAATGGGAATTCGATATCTGGCCCGCGTGCCGATTTCGGGGGCGCTGTCTCATCAACGCCGCCTCCCTCGTCAGACTCTTCAGAGAATACTTGCTCCACTGGAATATTTTTTGCTATTTATTTACAAGTATGAAAAAGCAATGAAATACTAGAAAGGAAGTTATAGTTCATCTACACTATAAAAGTAATTTAAAAATAAAAATGCGTGCGTACAAAGTACGTACATGTCACAAGTGTAACGGAGGATTTAAATTTTCATTAAAATATTAAAAGTGTCGAAAATTAATACAAATAATACATTTAATTTGTTTAATTTAGTTCTTTAATAATAAATCACGTGGCATTTTAATTTACAACTCGTCATTTGAGATTTCAATAAATTATTTTGCATAAAATATAAAATACTTCGACAAATAACGCTGTACATCTTCTTGACGCTAATATTGCGTTTCATCCGTAAAAAATTTACCCTCATGCGCCTAAAGAAGTTTCACTTCAAAAATACTTCAAGTCACCTAAAAACCAAGAGCTCCATGCATATTCTTACTTCAAAAACTACTGAATCGATTTTGTTGAAATATTGACTGTTCCCTAAGTTGATATGACCTGATTATTATAAAAGATACATACATTTAAATTAAGCAAACGTTTAAAGCCTAAATGAATATTCAATTCCTACAAAATAACCTTTAATTAATAAAAGAAGGATTAGTAAAAAACTACGATGAAATGTAAAGAAATTGATTAAAGGTACACTTTCCAACTGTGGATTTATATCCACAATCATTATACGAATGATTTACTCTGATTTACGAATTATTATATAATTATTATTTATTATTTTACATTTAAATTAAGCAAACGTTTAAAGCCTAAATGAATATTCAATTCCTACAAAATAACCTTTAATTAATAAAAGAAGGATTAGTAAAAAACTACGATGAAATGTAAAGAAATTGATTAAAGGTACACTTTCCAACTGTGGATTTATATCCACAATCATTATACGAATGATTTACTCTGATTTACGAATTATTATATAATTATTATTTATTATTTTACATTTAAATTAAGCAAACGTTTAAAGCCTAAATGAATATTCAATTCCTACAAAATAACCTTTAATTAATAAAAGAAGGATTAGTAAAAAACTACGATGAAATGTAAAGAAATTGATTAAAGGTACACTTTCCAACTGTGGATTTACATCCACAATCATTATACGAATGATTTACTCTGATTTACGAATTATTATATAATTATTATTTATTATTTTACATTTAAATTAAGCAAACGTTTAAAGCCTAAATGAATATTCAATTCCTACAAAATAACCTTTAATTAATAAAAGAAGGATTAGTAAAAAACTACGATGAAATGTAAAGAAATTGATTAAAGGTACACTTTCCAACTGTGGATTTATATCCACAATCATTATACGAATGATTTACTCTGATTTACGAATTATTATATAATTATTATTTATTATTTTACATTTAAATTAAGCAAACGTTTAAAGCCTAAATGAATATTCAATTCCTACAAAATAACCTTTAATTAATAAAAGAAGGATTAGTAAAAAACTACGATGAAATGTAAAGAAATTGATTAAAAGTACACTTTCCAACTGTGGATTTACATCCACAATCATTATACGAATGATTTACTCTGATTTACGAATTATTATATAATTATAATTTATTATTTTACATTTAAATTAAGCAAACGTTTAAAGCCTAAATGAATATTCAATTCCTAAAAAATAACCTACAATTAATAAAAGAAGGATTAGTAAAAAACTACGATGAAATGTAAAGAAATTGATTGAATCTACACCTTCTAACTGTGTATTGACATACACAATAATTATACGAATGATTTACTCTGATTTACGAATTATTATATAATTATTATTTATTATTTAAGTATCAACAGAATTCACTATTATTTGATATTAAATAGCCAACATATCTATAATAAAAGAAATAGAATTGAAGAAAAATCATTATTTGACCAAAACACACATAAAAAAAATACTATCACTTTTCTCAAATATAGGCCAAACTCAGCTTCAGTTGCCACCAGCCACACTGATTTTCAATAGGCCCCTATATCTTGGAGTGACAGACACACTTATCAAATAGCTTAATGCTATGTAAAAACAACATGCGTAATTTCTTGAGGCTATTAAAAGGCTTGGGTAAATTCGTAAAGTTATATAATTTATAATACATAACTTAATACTAAAGTATAATTTTTTCTACTATTTTTATTATTACATACTTTTTAGACGCAAACTAACTGTTGTGGTCTATGGCAGAATGACGAGCGCTGTGGAACACGTCTGCTTCACATAATGCTGAGCCAGGGCCAGTTACAACCACAACGCACACACACACTTAAAACGTACCATATTCCTTTTTTTCTTTTCATAATTTAATGTCATTTTTCTTTTTTGATTATTGAAGTGAAACTTCTTTATCGAGGTTGGATAAAAATTTAGTGTAACATTTTTTCGTTACGCGTCACATTTTTCGGTTACGCGCCATGTTGCTTTTTGAAGTCAAACTTCTTTATCGGCGTTGGAATGAAACTTCTTTATCGACGTATGGGAGAAATTTTGTAGCAAATCGTCACGTTTTTCAATGATAGTAATAATTCTATTACAATTAATGAAATTCTATAATAATCTTCGAAGTAATAAGGTAAAATGAAATATTTGTATTCATGTCTATGATAGTAAAAGCCTTTTGTTAAACTTTATCTAATTTAACGAATTTCTGTAAAGTTGCATATAGTAGATCATTTTTCGAAAAAAAAGATCATAAAGAAGTTTCACTTCTTACGTGTGTACACCTAGTACACGCACAATTTATTATTATCTGTGTTTCGTTAGTAATAAATGTTATATCTATTTCGAGCTTTAAGCTTTGAGCTTTATTTTCTTGCCTTAATCACACGCCAACGCAACAGTACTCCATATGCCTACTCCCCTTAAATTATTCATACAAGGATTTGCATTTACCTAAAGTATACATTGCAATTTATCATGGTCCCAAGTGAGGATAATCCATTATTCTAACACAGACAAAAGTCCTTCTATATGGAGATTGTGTCCTCAAAACGAATAATAAATTCGTATAATAATAGAGTTAGGTCGTGTTGTAAAATTATAATTATAAGTGTTAGAGATTGTTTCACGTAGAATTTTCAACGACAAGTATTTTATAACATACTAGCTGTACCCTGCCACGCTTTGCTGTGGCACATTTTGATTGAATGGTTGAGAAATGAGAAAGAAAACAAAGAATACATTTCACATAAGTTTAATTTTGCAATACTTGTGGGAAAAAAATAAAAAAGGAAAAAAAATTTATATATCATGCAAAAATTTCAGCTCGGTCGGTGCAGATTTTTTTAGAGTTTTTGAAGCGTACCAAAACATATATACATATAAGATATAGATTTTTCAAACCATTTTAGTTTATTTCTCTATCTATCGACTCTCATCCCTGAGGTCGTAGGTTCCAACCCTGGCTGTCCAATAAACTTTCTTTATATGTGCGCATTTAACATTCGCTAGAACGTTAATGCGCAAAGTTTGGCAGAATCCAGTATTCGAGACATTATTCCCAGGATAAGACACTTGTACGATAAAACAAACAAGTCAAGTAAGTTCCTTCGACTTGCCAATGATAATTTTCTTAGAGATTTTGGCACGTAATGGAAACGTTTACTAAGAAAGGATTTACAAATATTTAACAGAAGAAACGGCAATAATAAATCTAATCAAAATTATCGTAGGCGATTAGGAAAGTAATAGAAATCTTAATTGGCCCTTTAAGAATTGGCACGCTCTTTTCTATTCTTGAAACACCCCAAGTTGAATTATTTTATTCCATCTACAATGTTATTTAAATGTTTATATTATATATTAAAATTAAAACAATCAGTGGCGCAGTTTTCCTTCACCGTTTCTGCGAATGTTAAATGCGCACATAGAAAGAAGGTCCATTGGTGCACAGCCGGAGATCAAACCTACGACCTCAAGGATGAGAGTCGCACGCTGAAGGCACTAGGCCAACATTGCTCTTTTATATAAAACTAGCAGATCCGGCAAATTTTCTTTAGTTCAATAAAAATAACTATCTACTAATCATACACACATATCTACTATAGTGAAAAATAGGGGTTGATCGTAGAGGGATGACAATTAAGGGTTGTATGTATGTATAAACTTGTTATATCAGACTATGCCATCAATGCCACATCTAGAAAAAAATTAAATTCTAACATCCGTGTTTCGCTTGGTTGACTGACCAAGTTTTTTATGTCTACCCACATTTTTGGTGCTGTTCTGTTTTCTTATTTTATATATGTACCTACATCTGTGCGCTCTAATTTTTAATCTTAGTTTTAAATATGTGTTTCTCAGTAAGTGAATTTTCAATTCTTATGAGAAATAAAGTTATTCTTAAACCTAAAGAGAATGATCTCTTTAATTTGAATATTCGCGCGCACTGCTAGTTCGTGAGTGCGCCGCGTCGTGTCACGTCAAGCTAGCTGACATTGTCAAAGATGTAAAGGACAAATATGCTGAGATTGTTGAATTGTATTTTAATTTTATTTGTTAATTAATTTCATACTTAGTTAAGCTATATGCATCGAGAGGTGATAACAATGAACTTTTATTGTCGTTTCTTTACTTACAGGTAAGATTGTGTTAGTCTTGTAAGGATTGTATCAGTGTGTAACCTACTCGATAAATAAAATTGCATTCTTTACTTACAGAGAAACAAATAGAAGTTTTATTTAGCCTCTTGCAATTGAAATACAGACTATTGTCTTATAAAACGACAATACTTGTTTATAATGGCACAAAAATTGCAATTTGCATTTAAGCTGGAAGCATCACAAACTGACAATAAGACGAGTGTAATTGCCATAACCTCAATTACAACAGAAGATGACAAAAAGTATACACTGTCTGAGACTGATAAATACGCGAGTCGTCATATAGCATTAACAAAAACAGAAACCTACAAAAGAGTGAGAAAAAGTTTAAATCAAAGAGGTCAAGAAAGAACAATATGGATGACATGTACAGAAGAAATGATTCAAGCCTATTTTGATGAAGATAATAATTTAATGTTTAACGACCTATATTTAAAAGAAGAAAAAAAACAAACAGATATTGTAGAATCCACACAGAAGAAAAAGGGTCTACTAAATTTGAAAAATATATCAGAAAGATTCATGATTGAGAAATTTGTATGTAAATTCTCAAATGCGAAACAGTGGATAGAAATATTCGAGAATGAATGTAAACGATTTGAGATTGAGGAAGATACAACAAAGATAGAAATATTAAGATTATTTTTGGACAAAACATGTGCAGATTGGCACTCGGCAACATTGAAGACTTTGAAAATCGAGGCTGGATGGTCCGAGTGGAAAAATAAATTTTTGGACACATTTGCCGATAAAGGATGGAGTTCGGGAATGTATGCCATATTTTACAAATATAAAGAAGGATCACTGATGGAATACGCCATTAGAAAAGAAAAGTTATTATTAGATATGGATGAAAATATTGGCGGGAAAAGTCTGGTCACACTTATAGCAGCCGGAATGAAACCTCAACAAGATTGCTTCATGAAATAAGTATATGTGAAAGTTTGGTAAATAATAAAAACTTCAAAATAAAAAAGGAAGAAAAAGATGACAACAAGAAATACAGTTTAGGAAAAAAACCATGCAAAACCTGTCAGAATTTAAATAAGGGCAATCGATACCACCCAGAACAGTCTTGTTGGTTTAAAAAAGAAGGGGCAGATAACAAAAGGATTGGAAGTAATTCGGTTATAGAAGTAAATCTAAGCGAAGAGACAAAAAACGAGTAATCACACCATTGATAAAAATAAATATGTTATTAGAAGACAAAATACAAATAAATGGAATATATGATTCAGGCTCACAAGTGTCTCTGATAAACAAAAGGTTAGTTAGAACACAGAATGATTCTGTGGATACAAATAGAATATTATTAAGAACTGTCAATGGTGTGACATACACAAAAGGTTTAATAAGAATAAAAGTAAAGATTTTTGATATAGAAGAATATGTTGATGTTTTTATTGTAGACAAACTGGATTTTGAAGATTTCATTATAGGACTAGATATGATAAAAAAATTTAAATTAGCTCAAAATGAAGATTTAAAAATTTTACAAAAGACAAAGAGAGAGATAAATACTATGAATGCATTTGAAGAGATAGAGGAAATTAAAGTCAATTTTAATGAGCATGTGAATAAAAATGACTTCATAACAAATCTACATCACTTGGACAATATCAAAAAGTCCCGAATACACAATTTAATAGAGAATTATAATAGTATATTTGCCAAAGACAAATATGATGTAGGTACAGTAACAGATTATGAAGCCCGGATAGACTTAATGGTGGACAAGTACTGTAGCAAAAGACCATATCGTTGCACATTAGAAGACAAAATAGAAATAGAAAAACAGGTGGGTAATTTACTAAAAAATAACTTAATTGAGGAATCATACAGCCCATTCGCAGCACCAGTTACCTTGGCATTTAAAAGAGACAAAAATACAAAATCGAGACTCTGTATTGATTTTCGTGAACTAAACAAGATAGTCATACCACAAGCACAACCATTTCCATTGATAAGCGACTTGATTGTTAAAGCAGGAAATTGTAAATATTTTACCACACTGGACATAAATTCCGCGTTTTGGTCTATACCACTACGTATTGAGGACAGACAAAAGACAGGATTTGTCACACAGGATGGACATTATCAATGGACTTGCCTACCATTTGGATTGAAAACATCACCTGCCATTTTCCAGAGAATTTTATCAAATATATTAAGAAATACTAACTTGAAAGACTTCACAGAAAATTATATTGATGATATCTTAATATTTTCACAATCGTTTGAAGAACATATAGATCACATAGAAAAAGTACTCAAAGCAATAATAAAAGAAGGATTCAGATTAAAATTTAAAAAATGCACATTTGCAGCAACATCAGTGAAATACCTAGGACATATAATAGGAAATAATACGGTAAAACCGCTCAAAGATAACATTATTTCAATAAGAAATTTCCCAACACCCAAAACCCGAAAGAATATTAGACAGTTTCTGGGAAAGATTAACTTTTACCACGAATATATACCAAATAGTTCGATATTATTGGATCCACTACATAAATTATTGAGGAAAGATGCCCAGTTTATATGGTCAGAAGAATGTGAAGAAACTTTTTCTAATATAAAAAATATATTATGCTCACAACCGGTTCTCGAAATATTTGATAAAGACCTGCCTATTACAATTTACACGGATGCCTCGTTGAATGGTATAGGTGCAATATTAAAACAGATTCAAAAAAATGGTAAAGAAAAACCAGTTGGCTATTTTTCAAAAAAACTCAATGATTCACAAAAAAAGAAAGAAGGCAATATACCTTGAATGCTTAGCAATAAAAGAATCTATCAAATACTGGCAATATTGGTTGATTGGAAGAAAGTTCACCGTTTTTTCGGATCACAAACCACTAGAAAACCTCAACATAAAGGCTAGAACAGATGATGAACTTGGTGAATTAACTTTTTATTTGTCACAATATGACTTTAACATCAAATATATTCCGGGGAAGAATAATACGGAAGCAGACAGTCTCAGTAGAAACCCAGTATTGGAAGATAATGATAATGATGAAGAAATTTTAAAAACGGTGAATCTGATAACAATAGATGATATTAAGGCAGATCAGCAGAAAAACGAGAAAATAAAGGAAAAGAAAACCAAAATAATCGAAAGAAATGGGATACTATACAAAAAAGATCGAAACAGAGAAAAAGTTATATTATCTGAAGAAGCGAGTGTGAAATTAATAAAGGAAACACACACCGAATGGTGTCATTTAGGGATCAACCAAATGATAAATAAAATCAGTCCTTATTATACAGCAAAGAATTTAACGAGAAACATTAA